AGAGGAATGTCTCTCTGTGCTTCATTGGCATTTGACTGTGCATATCATAACAAATTGTGGCTAACCTTGAGAAGAATGGGAATTCCAGAACACTTTGTTGTGGTCATGTGAAACCTGTACTTGGAAAAGGAGGCAGTCAGCAGAAGAGAGCAAAGAAATACTGCACGGTTTATAATTAGGAAAGGAGTATGTCAGGGATGTGTCCTGTCTCCATATCTTTTCAAACTATATGCAGAACAGATCAGTGAAGAGCCTAGACTTTATTAGGAGGAGTGTGACATCAGGATTGGAGGAAGACTCATTAACAGTCTACACTATGCAGATGATACAAACTTGTCTGCCAAACTGAGGAAGACCTGAAGCATTTGCTGCAGAAAGTCAAGAACTGTAGTCTTCAACATGGGTTGAAGCTAAACATCAAGAAGACAATGATTCTCATCAATGGGACAATGGCAGCTTCATGATGGATGGAGAAGAGACTGAGGTTGTTAACAATTTCAGCTTGCTCGGCTCTACAATCAAGACTCTTGGCATCAGCAGTCAGGAAATCAAAAGATGAATTGCATCAGGGATGTCTGCTGGCAGGGACCTCTCCAGGGTGTTGATGAGCAACGATGTCAGTCTAGAGATGAAGGTTCACCTGATTCAGGCCCTGGTCTTCAAAATTACATGCTATGCATTACATGCTACACTTCAGAATGCTGGACAATAACTAAGGATGACAAAAAAAATTATTGATGCCTTTGTGTTGTGGTACTGGAGAAGCCAAGGGAATAAATAGGTCTGTCTTGGAGAGGGTGAAACCAACTTCCTCACTGGAGGCAAGGATTTTGAAGCTCAATCTACCATACTTTGGGTACATGGCCAAGAGGGATCAGTCCTTGGAAAAGGACATCATGCTTGGAAGGGTTGAGGGACAGCACAGGAGAGGAAGACCTTGGATGAGATGGACTGACATGATAGCTGAGACAATGGGATTAGGTGTGTCGGAGTTACCAGTGAGATTGGCTCAAGATAGCACAGGGTCCCTATGAGTTGCAGGAAATGCAACGGCACAAAACAAGAAGTAATAATATGTATGCATCATTTTGAAAAAGATCCTTCAGAAAATTGACTAAGGTAATTTGGGTAGGCTGCAAAAGTTGTACCATTTTTGGTTTGTGATAATAAACTTTGAGATTCTTTCCTATCATTCATCTTCAAGTCCTGAGCAGATATGATTTTCAAATATAATAAATTAAATTGTATCCTTAATTCCTGTGTACTTTTAAGTTTCATAGTAGAAAGTACATACTTACTACCAGTCAAACAAAAATGATTTAGGATTATAATTTTTAAAGTCATCATGCATAAAATCCCCATCACATTTATATCCTGCCAACCATTCCTCAAAGGCACTGCAATGTTGTGTGTTATCTTTCCACTCTGCCATTTTTTAGACTGTACACAATTAAAGTGCTTCATCAAATATAAGTTACCAACACTAAACTTATTCCTGCCTTGACAGGGTAGCCAAGCTTCCTTGACTGTCCCATCCACAGCTACCTAGGGCTCTTACTTAGTGACCATGATTTCCTGGAGCATCTACAACTGCTTTGCTAACCACTTCCATGTGCTCTTCAGTCTGACCCACTTACTTTTTAAGTCTTCATCCCAAAGCAAATCACTTGCTGCTGAGTGGATTCTGATTGACAGAGACTCATTATCTCATTCATTGTATCTTATACTTTTTTCTCCTTCTCAATAATTAATGAATGCTCTGACCTATAACTTGCAAGTATTTCAAACCTCAATGTCCAGCTGTTTAACTTTGTGATTTTGGCTACCTGAGCAATATGTATTATAAAATCAGTAAGAAATTACATATTAATGTGTGGGGAGGCAGACTACATTAAAGTGACAAGATATAAGTACTGAATGTAAATTCAATACAGGTATCGTATGTCTGTTCAGTGAAACTGAAGAATACTTGAAGCACTTGCTACAGAAGGTGAAGAAATGTAGTCTTCAATATGGATTGAAATCCAACATCAAGAAGACAAAGATTCTCATCACTGGACTAAGTGGCAGCACCATGATAGATGGAGAAGAGATTGAGGTGCTAACAATTACAGCTTGCTCGGCTCCATAATCAATATTTTTTTTTTTACATGAAGAAGGCACTTTATTGAGGTAAGGGGCAGTCTGGGATTCCTGCCCCAACTCCCCATCCCTGCCTTGGCTTCACTCTCATCAGTACAGTCTCATGGGTGGAAAGGACCAGGCCTCAGGGCTGTTCTGGGCTACCACCCAGGAGAGGCTAGGCAGTGGGACAGGAGGACTGGGGCTCCACTCTAGTTCTGAACTTCTAAGCAACAAAGGAGATGGTGGCGGAGGCATGGGATGCGATGGGCCAATCCCCCAGGTTCGGGAAGGGGGTGGTGTGGCTGGCAACCAGATGCTTTTCAGTAGGTCAAAGGCTGTTGGGGGACCTCAGGCTGCCCCAGATGGTGAAGTTACTGAGGGTATAGGGAGTGGCCTGGAACCCACTGCTGGTCCCAGGCTTGCTTTGTGTGCAATGGAACTGTTGGAGGCAGGTGCCATGGTGAAGGCGGGCTCCTTTACACTCTGTAGCCTCCTCTTCCATCCCTCTCCTGGAACTTTCTTGACACTGCTGATCCAGGAGGGTGTCATCTTTTGTCTCTCAGGGTTACTGGTCTTGACTGGCAAGTGTGGCTGACCCTGTAGGACCAAGGTAAGGTTGGGCACATGGCCATGGCAGGCCTGTAAAGTGCCCACAATGATGTCCCTAGCCTCCTGAACCAGGTTCCTCCTGGAGAAGGCCTGAGGCAGAATCAGCTTGAACTGCAACTCCCAAAGAAGCTGACTCAAGCAAGGGAGATTTGGGGGACTTGGTGGACCTGGGCACAGGTTTTCAGGCAACTGGTTCTCTTTGCCCCTTAACTGTGGGGATGATTCTTGGGTGCTGCCCTGGAGTGGGGAAGGCTTGGTGGGAAGTAAGGGGGTATCTGGCTCCAAGGCCCTACTGCTAAGCAGTCGTGCCACATCCAGCGATTTAACCTCATGGCTGAAAAGACCCCAGTGCTCCCAGCTTAGCCGGCCTTGGGTTATAACCACGAGCTTGTGGGCAGCAGGGGCTACAGGATTCTGGGAGGCCACAGTTGGCTTCCGGTGGGTCACAGCAGGCTCCTGACTGGCCACTGGAGGATCCTGGTGGACCTTGGGCCGTCGACTGCCTACCAGGGCCTCATTACGCTCCCGCCTGGTCTTTCAACAGCAGATGCGACCAGGTTTTTCTGGATGCTGCTGTAAAGGCTGGGAAGCTGGCTTCCAAGGGTCCATGGTGTGCTATCCTTTTCCTGCCTTATCGAACCCCGTCCTACTTCCACCTGACGTGGCTAAGGGCACAATTGCTCCTTTTCTGCTGGGACCCCAGTTGGCCAAGCCGACTAGGGCCCCTACCAACTTCACACCCCTGAGTCTCATCCATTATCAACATTCTTAACACTAGAAGTCAGGAAATCAAAAGACGAATTGCACTGGGAAAATTGCATTGGGGACCTCTCCAGAGTGCTAAAAAGCAGTATGTCAGTCTAGAGACTAATGTGTGCCTAATCCAAACCACAGTCTTCACAATTACTTATTATGCTTCAGAGAGCTGGACAATGACTAAGGATGACAGAAGAATTGATACCTTTGAGTTGTGGTGCTGGACAAATGAGATGAACATACCACGGACTGCCAAGAAAGCAAATAAGTCTGACTTGGAGAGGGTGAACCAATTTTCTCCTTGGAGGCTAGGATTTTAAAGCTCCAACTCACATACTTTGTGCACTTGGCCAGGAGGGACTGGTCCTTGGAGAAAGATATCATGCTCCAATAGGTGGATGGACACTGCAGGAGAGGCACAGTCCTGATTGAAATAGTACCTGGGGCAATGGGGGTTGGTGTGTCAGAATTAGTCAGACTGGCTCAAGAATGGGTAGGGTTCAGAGCGCCATGGGTCACAGATGACTCAACAGCACATAACAACAACATCAATACAGAATATGAGCAATCAATGTTTGAAATGATGCATGCATGCTTTTTATGAATGATTTTTAGTGCAATGCCCACTTTAGGTCTCCCTTGCTATTTAAAACCTCAAATGGTTTATTCATCCTCATGACAGATATCCTTACTTTAAAAAAATTAACTTCAGTACCATCAGAGAGTTGGACAATGACCAAAGAGGATAGAAGGAGAATTGATGCCTTTGAGCTGTGGTGCTGGAGAAGAGTATTGAGAATACCATTGACTGCTAGGAAAACAAACAGATTCATCCTGGAAAGGGTTAAACCGGGTGGCTCCTTGGAGGCAAGGATTCTGAGGCTCCGTCTAACATACTTTGGACATGTTGTGAGGAGAGACCGGTCCTTGGAGAAGGACATCATGCTTGGGAGGGTGGAGGGACAGCGCAGGAGGGGAAGGCCCTCTATGAGGTGGATTGATTCAGTGACTGGGATAATCAGGATGGGAGTGTCAGAGACAGTGCGATTGGCACAGGCCAGAGCAGGGTTTAGGGCTGTAGGTCGCTATGAGTCGCAAGCGACTCGATGGCATATAACAACAACAACAACAACAACCATATTATATGTAGAAATATTTAATAAAATGCATTAAAAGTTAAAGAATATAATTGCTAATGGGAACCAAAAGTGCTGTGTAAATCTTTAAAAAAAAATACACTGAAACATACTTTCATAACTCAAGAACAAAAGAAAAAAAAACAACTCAAGAACATTCTAGGTCAACAAAATAACATAATAAATTTTGGGGATGAAGTGGGCAAAACAAAACTCCAAGGGATAAATAAGCACAATTACAAATGTAGAAACTTTAAAAAATTATCTGAATAAAGTTTTTTATTAAATATCCTAAATCCTTAAAACAGTGTAAGTAAAGAATTTAGGGCATTTGAAAACACAGATTAGGAAATTAAATGGGAAAAAGAGTCTTACGGTGATGATTCCAGAATGATGCTATTAGCTTGTGTTGATGATGCAGATCTGTGATTCACAAATACTTCACTCGGAGAAGTATGAACTACATGGTCTACCAAATGTCCAACTGAAGATGGTCGTAGCCGAGTGCCTTCCTGTGTGAATGCAGAATTCCGACTAAATGGAGAGAGAGAAAAGTGAATTAAATATGATTTCATTTAAAATCTTTAAAGTTTTAAAATTGTATTATTGTATCAGAGAGCTGGACAATGACTAAGGATAACAGAAGAAGAATCAATGCCTTTGAGTTGAAGTGTTGGAAAAAAGTCTTGAACAAACCATGGACCACCAAGAAAACAAACAAGTCTGTCTCACCTTGGAGGCTAGGATTTTGAAGCTGTCTCACATACTCTGGGCATGTGGCCAGGATGGATCACACGTTGGAGAAAGACAGCATGCTCCAAAGGGTGGAAGGACAGAAGAAGAGAGGAAGACTTTGGAGGAGATGGATTGATACAGTAACTGGGGCAATGGTTGTCTGGTGTCAAGAGTCAGTGAGACTGGCTCAGGACAGAGAAGGCTTTAGAGCTGTTGTACATGGAGGTGTTATGCATTGTAGGCAGTCTGACAGCACGTAACAACAACAACAAAACATACAACACATTTGGTAATACTATAAAATTAACAGAATATATTTCTATGACAAAGTATGCAGCTTTTCTGAGACATGCTAACTATACACACAGTAAAGTTCTAAATAATGTAGGGAATGGTGTTAAGAAATCCTTTTCTAGGATGTAAGAGTGAGAGTAGTGTCAAGTGGGGGCCTTAGGGTACAGTAACTTAGAAGCATTTTTAAAACACATATGCTCACCTACAAGTGTGGTTGGGACACACATGGGAGAAAAAATTGTCAAAAACAATCATATGAGACTTTACGTTTACTAACAGATCTTGAAGAAATGGCTAGAGAGTCTCAGTGTGAAACTAAATTGTATAGGAATATAAAAATGCCCTCCCTTTGCATTTTTTAAGCTGAAAGAATTGAAAAAACAAATTAAAATCTCAAGTTGCAATACTTAGAGATGATATGGGCAACATATTTAATGATCAAGGAAATATTAGAAGAAGATGGAGGGCTGCCTGCAACACATGGAGAAGGCTAGGAATTTCTTATGCCAAAGGGGAAAAGGAGTTGACATGCCACCGTTTTCTAGAGAACAACACTCAACCAGTTTTGGGGAGCACCAATATAGAGGTCCTTCACAGAACATCTCTCTCCCCTGGGACAATACACATTTATCCACCTAACATTCACCAAGAAGACTCACATAATGTCAAGAAAGCAGCAGGCAGCCACAGATATCCTGAAAAAAAAAATAAATAAAATAATTCTTTTCCTAAAAATGCAGAGCATATTGCAGATCCAATGAATACCCTAGACACAGAGAAGCAAATGAAATACGTTGAGGCAGAGTTTATTTGCACAGCTACAGAAGAAAGTGCAAATGACAGAAGAAACAATGGAAGCCAGGGACACAGAGCCAGAAGAAATATATTGATGAGGAGGAAGCTGCACAACTATGAAATGAAAGAAAAAAGATGAAATAAAGAATTGAAACTATAGAAAATGTGGTACAAAAACTTAAAAACGATCACAGAATAGAGATGGTACAGCCAATACAGTACTGAGAATAAATGATACATATAAACATGTAATCCAGAATATTAAGAATGAAATTGCATACGTGTTCAAGACACGAGAGACAAAGTATAGAACAGAATAGATGGAACAAAGAGTCAGTGAGCTGGAGTAAAGAGCCTCAATGGAAACATACTAGAAGAAAAATCAGATATTTTGAAGAAATCAGAGAAAATGAAGAAAACATCAGAATTATGTGAAATGACATAAAAGGAACAACATATATATTTCCCAAGTACTATGAAGAATGGAGAAACTCACATGGAAAAAGCTCTGTGAAAACCAAATAGACTAGACTCAAAAAGAAAAACATCAAGATATATCACAGTAAAATTCTTCAAATTAAAAGATTAGGATAGAATACTAAAAGCAACATGAGAAAAACAAAGAGAAACCTAGTAAGGGGAATCAATTAGATTAAGTTCTGATTTCTCAGCAGAAACCATGTGAGCTAGAAGACAACGGGATGGCATATAAAGAAAATGACTGTCGTTAGCTAAGGATTCTGTACACAGCAAAGCTGTCCATCAAATATGAAGGAGAAATTAGATCTTCCGCAGAAAAGAAGGAAGTTACTTGTGAAAACAAGACTAAAACGATAAGAAATTTTAAGGGAAGTCCTTCACAGAGAGACACCAAAGAAAAGTAGATAGACTACAGTAACCAGAAACAACAGAAAAAGAAACACAACAAAATGGCAATGATAAAACCTGGCCTGTTAATAATCTCACATAATGTAAATGGACTAGATGAATAAGAGAAAATAAGTAGCAGAATGGATAAAAAAAAAGTCGATCAATATTTTGTGTACAAGAGACACATCTAAGAAACAAACTGAAAAACAGACTCAAAAGCAAAGGCTAGGGAAAAATAATATAACAAGCAAGACATCCAGAAAAAAGCAGGAGAGGCAATACTAATCCCTGAAAACAGCCTTCAAGATGAAAACCACCATAAAAGATAAGGAAGGACACTATAAAATTATTAAAGGCACATTAGATCAAGAAGACATAACACTGATAAATGTGTATGTACCAAATGATAGACCTGAAAAACACATAAAACAAAGGCTAATAGAACTGAAGAAATAGATAGCACCACAATAGTGGTAGGAGACTTTAATACATCACTCTCACCAAAGGTCAGCTCAAAAGAAACTTAATTAAGATGCAGAAGATCCAACTATACAATCAGCCAACTAGAACTTTTGGATGTATTCAGGGTACTGCACTCATTTAAAACTCAATTCACTTTCTTATCAAGTGCACATGGTATATTCACTAGAACTGATCATATATTAGGACATAAAGTAAGCCTCAACAAATTAAAAAACAGGGAAATAACAAAGTATCAAACCACAATGGCATAAAATTAGAAATAAACCACAAGAGCTTATAAACCATCTATGTGGAAGCTAAATAATACTCTGCTAGAACATGACTGGGTTATAGAAGAAACAAAGTGTGAAATAAAAAAGTTCCTTGAAACAAAGGAAAATGAAAATACAAAGTACCAAAACCTCTGGGATGCAGCTAAGGCAGTTCGTAGCAACAGGCACACACATAAAAAAGAAGCAAAATAATGACCTGACTCAACATTTTCATCAAATAGAAAAATAACAACAATCTAATCCCACAGCCTCTAGCAGCAAGGAAATTATAAGGACAAGAGCTGAAATAAAAGGGCTGGAAAATAGAAAAACTTACTGTTAACAAGATGAGGAGCTGGTTTTTTGAAAAAGGGTCAAAAAAATTGACAAACCATTGGCAAAGTTAAAAGAAAACAAAGAGAAGACACCACAAATACTCTGATTTAAAAACCGACAGAGGTGACATCATAACAGAACCAGATGCAATTTAATTGATAATATTAGACTATTAGTAAAGCTATACATTTGAAAACCTAGAGGAAATTAACAAATTCTTTGAAACTCATGCCCTATCCAGACTCATCTGGACAGATGTAGAATACTTGAACAGATCCATCACAAAGGAAAAAATTAAGCTGGTCATAAAAAGATTATTTCACAAAAAACGTCCTGGCCCAGATGGGTTCACGGCTGAATTCTACCAAACATTCAGAGATCAATTACCAATTCTATTTATTGAACAAAACAATAAAGGAAGGAAAACTCCCAGAGTCATTCTATGATAAAAGTATAACCCTAATACTAAAACCAGGCAAAGGCAGAACAAATAAAAGAAAACTACAGATCTATTTCTATCATGAAGATAGATGTAAAAATCCATAATAAAAACCTGGCCAATAAAAACCAACAGCATATAAAAAAATAATTAAAGATGATCAAATGGGATTCATAACAGGTATGCAAGGATGGTTCAACACATGAAAAACAACTAATGTAATTAATCAAATTAAAAAAGCAAAAAATAAGAAACATATGATCCTAATAATTGATGCACAAAAGACCTTTGACAAAATTCAGTACTTTTTTCCTATTAAAACACTCAGTAAAACAAAAATAGAAGGGAATTTTCTCAACAAAGTGCAAAGTATGCAAAACCAAGAGTCATTATCATTCTCAATGGAGAAAGACTAACAGCATTCTCCTTGTAAACAGGGACCAGACAAGGATGCTGACTGTCACCACTTCTATTCAATACTGTATTGGAAGTTCCTGTTAGGGGAATACAACAAGAGAAGGAAATAAAAGGCAGCCAGATAGGCAAAGAATTGGTTAAACTGTCTCTATATGCAGATGATACAATGGTGAACACAGAAAACCTCAAGGACTCAACAACAACAAAACTATTAGAACTATTAGACCAATTCAATAGAGTGGCAGGATACAATATCAATATACAAAAGTCAGTGAGACTTCTCTACAGTAACAAAGAAAATTCAGAGATGGAAATCAAGAAACAAATACCACTTACAATAGTCAACGTCAAACTGAAATACTTATGAATAAACCTATCTAGAGACACAAAATACAAAATACCTTTACAAATAAAACTACAAAACAGTTCCTTGAGAAACAATAAAAGATGTAAATAAATAGAAAAAAATGTTCCCTGTTCATGGACAGGAAAACTTGGAATAATGAAAATGACAATCCCACCAAAAGCAATCTACATGTTTAATGTAATGCCAATACAGATATTAAATTCATTTCTCAAAGAGATAGAAAAGGCAATTATCAAATTTATTTGGAGAGGAAAGAGGCCTTGAATAAAAAACAAACAAAACAAAACTTCTGAAAAACAAGAAGGAAGCAGGAGGCGTAACACTCCCTGATTTCAAAATCCATTATACAGCTATAATAACCAAAACAGCATGGTACTGGTATAGTGACAGGCCACACAGACCAATGGAACTGAATCAAGAAACCAGATATGAATCCATCTACCTATAGTCAATGATATTCAACAAGGAAACAAAACCTATCAAATGGAGAAATGACAAGACCTTCAACAACGGCACTGGGAAAACTGGATTGCAAACTTCAGAAAGCTGAAACAGGATCCACATCTCACACTATACACAAAAATCAATTTAATGTGGATCAGAGACCTAGGGTTAAAGCCCCAAACCATAAAGATCATAAGAGACAAAGTTAGACCAAGTCAGAAGGCCTAGATTATGGTATAAAGAGTCTGACAAATATAGGCAGAAATACACAACCAGGAGAAGATAAAATTGTATCTGAGAGCTGGACAATAACTAAGGATGATAGAAGAAGGATCGATGCCTTTGAGCTGTGGTGCTGGAGTAGAGTGTTGAACATATTATGGACTGCCAGGAGAATAAACAAGTCTGTCTTGGAGAAGGTGAAACTGGGCTACTCCCTGGAGTCAAGGATTTTGAGGCTCTGTTTCTCATATTTTGGGCACATGGCCAGGAGGGAACAGTCCTTGGAGAGGGACATCATGTTTAGAAGAGTGGAAGGACAGCACAGGAGAGGAAGATTCAGGATGAGATGGATTGACTCAGTTAGTGAAGAAGTCAAATTAGGTCTGTAGTAGACAATGAGATTGGCTCAGGATAGGGCAGGTTTCAGAGCTAAAGTAAATAGGGTTGCTATGAGTCACAGGTGACTCAACGGCACATAACAACCACCACCACCACCATATAATCAAGAGCCAATAGTAATGTAGGAAGAAGCTCAAGTTGCTATGAAGGCACTGGCAAAAAATAGAACCCCAGGAATGATAGAATACCAAATGACATATTTCAAATGACAAATTCAGCACTGGACAAGCTCACCAATCTATGAAAGGAAATTTGGAAAAAATTTATGTTCCCTTCCCAAGAACGATGATTCCACAGAATGTGGAAATTATCAAACAATATCATCAATATCATACGCAAGCAAAATATTCTCCTTAAGATCACTAAAACACAGCGAGTATAGTACATAGGCAGGGAACTAATAGAATTTCAAATTGGATTTAGAAGAGGCCTTGGCACCATGGATATTACTGCTGTTGTTTGATGTATCTGGCTGAATGTAAAAATAAAAATAAAAAATCAGAAAAATGTCTATTTGTGTTTCATTGAGTATGCAAAGGCATTTTACTGTGTCAATCATAACAAGTTATGTTTGACATTGAGAATAATGGGAATTCCAGAACACTTAATTGCACACATGCCAAATGTAGACTAGAAGGCTGTGGGGTGCACAGAGCAAGGGAACACTGTAAGGTTTAAAAGAAATGAGTGAATCAGGGTTGTATTTCTTCTCTGTACCTATTTAATCTCTATGCACAGAAAATTATTAGAGAAGCTGGGCTCTCTGAAGTAGGATGTGACATCAGGATTGAAGGAAAATTCATAAATAACCTGTATTATGCATATGACACAAGCTTACTTTCTGAAAGTGAGGAGGAATTGAAGCACTTGCTGCAGAAGGTTAAACATAGGGAACATAATGATAGATGGAGAAAAGATTGAAATTGTCAATGACTTAATTTCATTTGGATCCACAATCAAAACATTTGGTACCACATTCATACAATGTAATACCATGTAGCACTCAGGAGCAATGATTTTGAAAAATACTATGTAACTTTGGAGAGACTGGAAAGCAATATGCTGAGTGAACTAAACTCAGTCTCATAAGGACATATATTGAAAAAGACCATTTGTAAAAATAGAAGAATAACTAGTAAAATATATATGGGGACCCAAAGAGGAAAGGGTGGGAACAGAGGGGTGAAGATAGGTAGGGGCGAAACCACAGGGTTGCACAATTTGGTGAGTGGAGGGAGGGGGTGAAGGAAATGGGAAGGTTCTAACAGGAACCTGAAAAGACAGAATAATGATGTGCAAGGTCCAATGGCGATTAATTTCATAAAACATAATGCATGGGAATGATGGTATGAAATACAACATGAATGAAGAAGAGTGTGAAACAAAATGTATATGAAGTTTGTAAGCAAGCCAATATACAATAAAAAAAAATAAAATAAGACCTAACATTTGGTACCAGGAGTTGGGAGTTTAGGAGACATACTGCACTGAGAAAGTCTACAGTCAGTGACCTCTCTAAATTACTGAGGAGCAATGCTAGTTTGAGGATTAAAGTGTACCTGATTTGAGCCATGGTTTTTTCAGTCACTTGCTATGTTGCTGAGAGCTGGACAAAGAACAAGGAGGACATAAGAAGAATTAATGCCTTTGAAGTGTGTCATCGAAGAAGAGTACTGAAGATCCCATGAACTGTCAAAAATGCAAACAACTATGCCGTGGAGAAGGTTCAGCCAGAGTGCTCCTGGAGGCAAAGATGATAAAGCTTAATCTCACATACTTTAGGCATGTTGCTAGGAGAGGCTATTCCTTGGAAAGGGACATTGTGCTTGGGACGACAAAGAAGAGGAAGACCTTCAACCAGGTGTAAAGACACAGTGATTGCAGTAACAGACTTGAATGTGTCAGAGATTGTGAGAAGGGTACAGGACAGGACAAGGTTCAGATCTGTTGGTCATAGGGTTACTGTGAGTTGTACTCAGCTCAATGGCAAACAACAACAACAACAACTTCTTTTATCATCGCTTAATGCAATTTCTTGTGCAGCATTTGAAATAGCTGTAGGTTAAAAGGAAATGCTGCTAGGGAGCAACAAAATTCCTTTAAGTCCAAGAGTTAAACTGTCTCATAAACACATAAAAGTTGGACAATGAAGAATTAAGAAAAATGATACCTTTGAATTCTGGTGTTTTGCATAGTGAACATACCATGGACTGCCAAAAATGAACAAATCTGTCTTGGAAGAAGTGCACTTAGACGAACTAATATAAACATACCCATTCTTACTGCAGTATTACTTATAGCAAAGAGATTAGAGGGTGATCCAGTATTGAGTAAACCATAGACTGTCTTGGAGAAAAAACCATCTTGGAAGAAATGCAGCCAGGGTGCTCCTTAGGGGCAAGCATGGTGAAATTTTGCCTTACATCCTTTGGGTATGTTGTCAGTGCTTAGAAAAACACATTATGCTGAAAAAATTGAGGGTTGGCAAAGGGGATCATGACCCTCAATGAGATAGATACAGTAATACAACAGATTCAGGCACACTGGAAATTGAGAAGATGGGCCAGGATTGGGCAAGGTTTCATGCACTGCTTACAAGGTTGTTATGAGTTGGACTTGACAGGCATCTAACAACAAAAATTTTCAGGCAATGGACAGTATAGCCAATCACTTAGAAATGATACATCTAACACACACACACATATATATATATATATACACAAAATATGCATCTAAGGTTATACTGTACTTACTGCTTTGGAGTTCCAGGTGGAGACCGTGAGGGAAGGCTTTGTGTTTCTAATCTGTCATCAGTTAGGGAATTTCTGCTTACTACTTCCCAATCCATTAAGTTTCGGGCCAAGGGCTTGCTTGGAGATCTGCAAATGGAATTTAATGTGTTAAAATGTTTTATGCTTCTATTCCAAATTATGAGTCAAATCCTAGAATTTGTCATTATAAATGAATTCCAGATGTGTCAACATGGTTTATTTAAAAGACATCAATATGTTCAGAAGCTATTTATCAAATAATTTCCTTTAAAAGTACATTTGTTTTCTATGAAGAGTGAAAGAATGACAGCCTAAGAAGAAGAGAGGTAATAAAGGAGACGGAGGGAAGAAATAAGAAAAGGAAGGAAAGAGAAAACAGTGAGAGTAGCTTGTTGGCTAAAAATTACTCAGATGTTAATACTATCATAGATACTACCTATTCCTATTCTAAAGTATCTGAAAACTCTAGGTATATACTAGCTAGACTGCTAGCATATTATCACCTAAAGCTCTTTATATCTGAAGTCTGCTTTTCTAACTCAATGTAGTTAGGGGGAAAAATAAATAACATATACTCCATTTTATTTATAATTTTTCTTTCTACTTGAACATTTTCTTCTTACTCTCCAACCCATCCTACAACGTACCTCTTGTTTCAGATTGTTGTCATACATATAATGCCTAATCAAAATTCCTTTCACAGTTCTTCCCCACATCTATTCTAACACAGTGCTCATTATCTATCCATCCTTTCCCCTTTCTCTCATCTCCCCATGTCTGTCTTATTTTATAACAGTGGTGTTATGCAATATTTGTCCTTTTGTGATTGAGATATTACACAAAACATAATGCCCTCCAGGCTCCTCCATGCTGTATAATGTTTTACGATTTCATTGTTTTTCAATGTTGTGCAGTATTCCATTGTGTGGATGTACCATAGTTTTCCTATCCATTCGCTTATTGATGGGCACTTGGGTTGCTTCCAACTCTTTGCAATTGTGAACAAGACAGCAATAAACATGAGTGAGCATTCATCTATCTGAGTTGCGGCTCTAGTTCTTTTGGGTGTATTCTCAGTGGGGTTGCTGGGTCAAATAGTATTTCTATTTCCACCTTTTTAAGAAAGCACCACATTGTCTCCACAATGGTTGTGCTATTTTACATTCCCACCAGCAGAGAACAGAAGTTCTAATCTCTCCACAACCTCACCAGTATTTGCTGTTTGGTGCCCTGTTGAACTTTGCTATTGCTCCTGGGGTGAGATGACAGCTCATAGTTGTTTTGATTATTTAGAATTGTTTTTGGCACTTTGTGGATTATTTCCCTTTTCTTAAATATATGAAAAAGTTACATATTTTGTCTTAGCACAAACAAGAAAGGTTGGTGAGAATGTGGAGAGAATGGAGCTCTCATAGACTACTGGTAGGATTGCAAAATGTTACAACCACAGTGGAAGGCAGTCTGGTATTTCCTCAAAAAGGTGAACATAAAAATTTCATATGACCCACCTATTTCTATATACGCCAAGGAAATCAGAACTAATATACAAACAGAGATATGTACAACTATGGCACATGATTTGAATCTACCAGCTGCTCCACATGAAAAGGATAAACAATCTCTTGTAAGATTTACTGCCTCTGAAAACCCACTGGAGGGTCAACTGGGGCAATTCCAACTCTATAGCACACAACAACAGCATGTTCATAGTAGCATTATTTACAATAGCAAAAAATGTAGGTGGGGGAGGGCTGGGCGGGGAAAGAAGTGCAGCAAAGAATGAATGGAAATCCAAAAGCTCTGTAAATGTTCATTAAAATTATTAAAAAAACAAAACAAAGAATAAAGTCCAAAACAAAACAAAAAAGAAAAGTAAAGAGCCCAAATGCCCATCAACAAATTGAATAAAGAAACTGTATTTACATTTATAGAGTGGAATACTATGTAGCATTAAAGAACAATGAAGTATTAATAAATTACTACTCAACACAGGAGAGTCTAGAGGACATTATGCTGAGTGAAAGAACTTAGTCACAAAAGGATAAATACTACATAAGACTGCTACCGTGAAAACTGGATAGTAACTAGGAGGTGGGAGGGGGAGGACAGAAAGAATACACAGGCAATGAAATCTATAAAGGACCAGGACAAGGGAGGATCAACCTGTGAGCAGTCAAGGAAAAGACAACATGGCTATTGCAATTAGCAAACAGCAACTAGATATGTGAGAGTGTTCAAAGCAGGAGAGTGGCAGAAGTGGTGCATAACTAGGGCAGAAGAGATTAGTGGGCAGGTGTGGGGGTGAAGGAACAGGCAGAGTGCAAAAGGGACTTGAAATGACAGGAGGTATATATCAACAGCAATTAAATAAAACACAACTTATATGAATGTATAAAACATAATGTACATGAATGAAACACAATGTAGATTAAAAATCCTCCACAAATAACAACCAAAAAGAGAACATTTGTTAATAAAATTTTTTGCAGCTATTAATATTGCCATGTTGTTGTTAGGTGCTATTGAGTACAACTCCTAGGGACCTTATAAACAACAAATCTAAACACTGATCGATCCTGGGTCATCTGTATCATGTCTAAGATACTTGCTCCCATTGTTAGAGTCACTGGGTCATTATCCCATTGAGTGTCTTCCTCCCTTTCACTGTCCCTCTACCTTTCCAATATGATTTCCTTTTCCAAGGAATTGCCTGTCTTAACAAGACATTCACAGCATGTGACATGAAGTTTCACCATCTTTGCCTTTGAGGAACACTCAGCTTGTACTTTCTCCAAGACATTTCTGTTTTTCTTTTGGCAGTCCATGGGACATCCAGCACTCGTCTCCAACAACACAACTCAAAGGCATTAATCTTTCTTCTATCATCCTTGTTCAATGTCCAACTCTCAGATGCACAGCAGGTGTATGGAAACGTCACGGTATGGATCAGGCCCATCTTTTTCTTTAAGGTGACTTCATTGCTCGTTAGTACTTTGGAGCAGTCCTTCACAGTGGACCTTCACAGTGTTATATATCTTTTGATTTCTGGACTATTGGTACCTCTGATGTTGACTGTGGTTCCATACAAGATGAAATCACTGACACTCATAGATACTGCCTATTCCTACTCTAAAGTACCTATAAACTCCATCTGTGTTTGGACACACTGCTAGCATATTACCACCTACATCTCTTTAAATGTAAAGACTGCTTTTTGGACTTAATGTAGTCAGGGCAAAAATAAAATTATACTAACTCCATTTTATATCTAATTGTTTTTAACACTTGGTGATTCTTCCCTTTCTTTTCCTTTTCTTAAATATTTAGAAGGTTGTAATTTTGTATTATGGTGAACTGTTTTATTATCTATGTACTATCACCTATCATGATTAACTGGCATTTTCTAAAACAGGTGCAAAATTATAAATTAAACGTGGGTCGCATAATAGGATGGGTGGAGGAAGAGACTGGTAAAGGGGAGTAGAAAGGTCTGGTGTGAGAAACAATGCATACTTTATGAATTCTGTGTGTAAAGCAGTAAAACAAATTAAAAAAAAATCAACACAACAAAAAACCTCATTAAAAAACAAACCCAAAAAACCCAGAAGAAAACAAAACAAAACAAAACAAACCACCACACCAAACAATAACAAGTCAAGAGTTCACTTTCCGGGAATGCCCGCACCACCAGACCAACCAGAACACCTGTGGTGCACTAGCACCACCCACGCAAGCCCGCCCTATCCACCGGGTGCCCACCCCTCCCAACATGGTGCAACCTGACTCAGATATTCACATGTGACTACTTGCAGCTATACAGCTGCAAGTTGACTGAGGCCCCTGCGAGTCCCCACAGGGGCAGGTAGCTCCACTGGGCATGAGCAGGACATCTGCAAACAGTTACCTGCAAACAGTTACCTGCAAACAGTTACCTGCACAGTTGCCCATGCACCCCTACCCGAGCAGGTAGCCCCAGCCAGGCCCTAGGGAAACAGCTGCAAACTGAGTGAAGTCCTGGCATGTGTCCATCCGGAAGTTAGCCAGGACATCTGTAACCTAAGTGAGGTCCCTGCATGTCCATACCCAGGCAGGAAAAATCCCCTGCCAGGCGTGAGTGGGACAGCTGTAAACTGAGTGAGGTCTTCCCACATGCCCATCTGGACAGCTAGGCTCAGGAGGCGTGAGCCATAGAGCTGTGGCTCCAACCTGAGTGAGGTCCTCGCTTGTAGTGTCTGAGCATATGCCCACCCATGCCTGCCCCGCCTGTTCCCCCCTCTTCTTCAGCCTTACATATCCTCATGCCCAGTCAACGAACTGCCTTTAATTCTAAGCATTTTAGTCTGACTTAGCTGTAACAATAATCCAACAGAGGAGGCCACTTTCACAGGCCGTGAACTGACACTTCCCTTGGTTCAGAAATTCAGAAAGGAACACAGGCAACATAATTGCTACACCCTCATCTGTAGCAGTTATTTCAGATCAAGAACCTATCATCACCTCAGGCATGAAAAACACTACCTACCACAGCATCAACATGAAAGAAACAGGACACCTCACAAGCTACACAAGCGCAAAGTAAGATGTCACCTCCAAAAAGTGACACAATGCCAATGAATTACCTGAAGCCAGAAAATCTGATGGAACTTTCTGACACAGAATTTAAAAGAACAATGATCGAATACTTTCAATGGGTGAAAAAAAACTTGAAGAATTACAAGTCACTGCAAGCAAAAACCAGGAGGAGCTTAAAAAAAGACACCTCACAACATTCAAAAACAACACAGATAAAACAAATGAGGCAGTAGAGGCTCTGGAAAAAGCAAGAAATCGCGACCCAAAATATGAGGTCTAATGTTTCAGATGCTGTCAAAATGATGGAGGGACATATGAACAGAGCTGAAGAGAGGGAACACAGAATCAATGAAATAGAAGTTAAAATTGAGATAGAAAAGGCAATCTCCAATCTCTTTATGAATGGAAAGAGGCCTTGAATAAGAAAAGCACTCCTTAAAAAGAGAAACAAGGTAGGAGACATCTCACTCCCTGATTTCAAATCCTACTATACTGCCGTGGTGCTCAAGACAACGTGATACTGGTACAATGACAGA